CTAGGAGACATCGCCTTGATGCTCTCTTTCTTATTCAAGTTTATTTTGGCTCTAAATTCTGCCCTTCTGCCCTGGAAATTGTTGGTCTCCGAGTTCCTGCTCGGTATATCAGAGATTTTGCATTGTTCAATGTTTGCCCTTTATTTAAGAATTGTCCCTCTGCTAGATGCGCAGCAGCTGCTAATGTTGTCTGCAGGGAGGTTGACGTATTCGGAGCCAGGAATGTTTTACCCAAACAAATTTTAAATACAGTATAACTGTTAGTATTTTTATTATTTGCATGTTCAGTAAAGCAAAATGAGTTACGTAATTTTCCTCAGAAAATCTATATTATTCAATTCTTAATTAAATATTAATGTTTCATTCCTCTATTCGTAATAGCACTTAGTTTAATGATAATGGAATTATTATTACTGTTATAATTATCACTTATTTGTTTGTTTACTTTTACTTTTATTCATTATTATTTCTTCCAATTACTTAACTGTAATTTGTATTTGACTTTTAATAAGTTTGTATGTAATGTAATTCAGTCATCTACACTGTGCTGAGTCTGTAATTGGCCTTGCGGCTGTTGACTCGGCACATTAATAATAAAGAATTGAATTGAATTGAATTGTAGTCCAGACTGTGATGGTAGCTTAGGGAACAGTGTTTTCTTTGGGTGTAAGTAACAGGCATGAGGTTTAATGCCAATATTTATGAACAGAACGAATTTTGTAGCATATGAGGCTCTCTCAGTGGTATTTGTGAAGAGTTATATCTCCTAGGATATAACGTTATGAAGTGTACATGGAAGCGACATGCTGAATTTCGGCCAATTATGCTAGTGGCAGTGAAATCGCTTGAACCTCGGTATACTCGGTATTGTGGGCTGCTCAGTGACTCTAGTGATGGTTGAAACCACGGGGATTAACCAATCAGAGACGATCAGAGGCCAGAGACATTCGTTTGTCACTGACAGTCACTGACTTCTATGGCGTCGTTATCAGTGATCACTGTGGTCAGGACGCCACCACGCCGACGATGCCGACCATGCTAATCGTCATGGAGGTCATGGATTAAGTTTTGTAATCACGTGTGATGTAGTAAGTGAAATCGGTGAGATTATGTTGTCAGCGGTAGATTTAGTGAAGACTATTGAAGATGGTGAAGACGTGCCAGATTTTTCAGAAAATTCTGATGAAGAAGAGGAGGTGCATATAAGATTTCCTTAATTCTGGACGATACTTAACCACACATGTATTGTCCCATATTTCTTCTTTCACTACTTTGAAGCGTTGAAGATAACCTGTACCGGATCCATGTGCGTTCGTCGTTTCTTTTATTCTCGGATGCCGTTTCACTTAAATGACGATAGTTGTCCCTGCTCGTAATTAGTTAAGCCCAATGCCATGCAGACATATGGAGGAGTGGAGGTGTAGCTCCATTATTCTTTCTCTCGGCAATATATGGTGAGTGGTTAGCTTCACATCTCTGTCGTTTTATCCCCGGGTAAATTATGTTTATGTATTTAAGTGCGAAAAATAGGATGTTGGGGTCAGAGGCGGGGTCTTTTGAGCACGGTATTGAATCGCCTTCTTGAGTAAAATGCCGAGAATTTCTTGAGATAGGCTATTGTTAGCTGTTCTGTGAAAGAACCGGGATATCTCAGTCGGTATATCGTCGGGCTACGGGCTGGACAGCCAGGGTTTTATTCATGGCAGAGGCAAGAAATTTTTTCTCTTTCCCATAGCAAGAGACTGTCTCTGGGGCCGGTCCAACCTCCTGTCCAATGGGTACCAGCGGCTCTTTTCCCACAGGTAAAGCGGCCGGGGCGTGAAGCTAACCACTGACCTCCATCTGGTTTTAAGGTAAAGAAGTGAGGAGCTATACTTCAACTCCTCTATTCATCTTAATGGCATAGTGTTTAATTAATTCAGTCCATGGATAAATTTACCTTTCTTTTTTGCCCACTCTATAGAGTTAGTAAGATAGTTATTAATTGTGAGTCAGCAAAGCTGTGGGAGGAAAGTATCAGGGAACTACCTTAATGTATCTTAATTTGCATGGTGTGCCCAAGAAAAATTGAAACTGGGGTACAGTAAAACATTGAGGTTCGCAGTGCTCAGTTCTAGGACCTTTGCTTTTCATAATCTGTATAAGTGACCTTCAACAATAAATACTGTAATGTTCACAAATGACATTGGTATCGTTTTGATAATTTCTGTATATTGTGAGACAGCTCTGTCTTGTATGAGTAAGTGCTTTGCTGTTAACATGCTGGCTCTGAGTGTAGCTAAAGCAAATAAAATGAAATTTACAAAAAGGTATTCAACAGAATATCCATTAAACATTGGATGTATTGATATATACATAGAAAAGTCAGTAAATACAAACTTCCTTCATTTATAAATTGATAACCACTTAAATTCGGGGAACGCGGTAGCCTAGTGGTTGAGGAGCTATACTACAAGCCGATGAGGTCATTGAATTTTTTTCAGTTGACCTAATCCTTCCAGCCGCACTAGGCCCTGGGGTTTACTCAGCCTCTAACAGAAATGATTACCAGGAATTAATTAAATAATTTTCCTGGGGAGTAAAACATGTAGGGCTGACACCCTTACCGCCATCTTTGAGCCGATTGTCTAGACAATGTGGGACCCTCAACGTCTCACAACCCTATGGGCCTTCACGGCCTGGTACGGGGATAGCTTTACTTTTTTAACCACTTAAATTTGAAAAATCATATATATCAGTAGATTCCAAAATTAAGTGATGCATGTTATGCAGTTAGATCCGTGTTACATTCCAGCAATCATCACACTTTCAGATTATTTTGCTTTGTTTATTTTCATGCTATAATGAAGTATGGTATAATGGGAGTAAGTAATCAAGCAGTAAAATAATATTTATCCTACAAAAGAAAATTGTTAGAATCATGGCAGGTAACAAACCTAAAATTTAATATGTAAGAGACTAGAGATCTTATGTCGTCCATATTAATACATATTTTAATTAATGAATATATATGTTTTGTTTTTATGATTTATTCCATATCCTATGGTCATTTTTGGTTGCCTCTGTATCCATAAAATGTAATGTTGCATATATTTTTGTGTGCGTGCATGCTTTTTCTTTATATTAGACACCCCACCTAAGCAGTAATATACTTGGAATTGACGGTGAAATGGATAGGCATCACCATCCACTTGTATCCCTTGTTTTATGTCCTACAGTAGTCACAGTACTTTATTCTCAATATTTTCTTGTGAATTTCAGCCTCTGAGCACAAAACTGCAGAATAGGACATTGAACATCTTATGAACATTATTAACAGAATGGTTATTTTGCTAGCTTAGAGGGGGTTAAGTCACTGAACATTACTTTTCTGGAGGAGAAGAAATGCAGTAAACTCATTATTTGTTTGTCACTGAATAGAAAGTATTCTGTTTTAGTGACAACAAAGTTTTCACCAGATCCTTGTAATATGAAGAATTTTTGTGATGCACTTACTTCATTTTAACCAATTTTTATTTATATTCATAATATGTATGTATTAACAGTCTTCAAGTGCACACAATCTCATTTACCACCTCTACACTACATGTTTCAGTAGTATGCTGCCATCTTCAGGTGTATCGATCTGTCAACCATTTCACTGCTTGCCTTTATATGTCCATTTACAAATAATATTAAATTTGTATACATCCTTATATAATAATAAAGTTTATGTATTTAAAACTTGTTAAAACCTATTATCTCATGTGTCATTATTTAAAACTTTGCGGACCGTGCAATTTAAATATTTAAATCACCCTCGGGACCGGCATTTTTAAACCTACTACTCTAACTTGTGCACTGTTCACTTTAAAAATTAATATAAACTCTCCTAATTAATTTTATGAACTAAAATTTTTGGAGGACACTTAGCAATGCTCCTAGAAGTGCTTGAGAGTGTGATATTTCTGGAAACATTCCCCTTTGTGAAGTGGCATTACACAGAACGTGCACATGTAGTCAGTCATACTCCTTTTGTTGTGTACTGTGCAAACACAGCATCGCCTAGAAGGCTGCTTCCCCTTGGCATGTTCACTCTTCACAGTTTTCACTAGGGTATGTTTCTGCATATCACCCGAGAGTCGCCCAGGGGTGTCAAAATGAGGCCTGTGTGGGGTGGGAGTAGACAGCCCCAGTCATACTAAGACTGTGTCTGCCGCCAGTTCTGCCGCCACCGTGTGGTCTGTAGCCTAGGCTTTTGCCACATTCAGCAGAAATGCCTTGTATTTCAATTTTGAGTGAGGGTTTAGATTTTTCAAAACCAAAAATGAATTGAAGATGGCACAATTTATAAGCCACAAGGCAACTTTCTTTGTCCACTTTACCGTTTTCAGAGGAAGAGAATAATAGGCCAAGTACTGATCGGCTCTATCAACTCCTTTCATGAACATATTATACTCGGAAATACAAACAGGCTTCTTTACCTGTCCATGTCTCCTTTGAACATCAACCATGCTCAAATTGTGAATTGTGGAAATCATATTCACAACATGAGTATCCCTCCAGGACTGAAGAAGAATATCCCCCTTCCTCCTGAATGTGGTTTCACCACGTTTCAGGGATTTACATTCCTCCTTCAGATCTGGAGGAAGGCCTCTGTTCACCCTAATTGTTCCACAAACACGTACTTTTCTCGAGAGTAGGTGTTCTGCAGTTGCCACACCATTATAATAATTGTCTTGATAGACATGGTAATTTTGATCAAGATATGGTTCCAAAAGGGAAAGAATAGTTTCTTGTAATTTCTTTCCTTCACCAGAATAAATTTCTAAATTTCCAATATAGCCTGAAGTGCTTTCAGTAACTACACGAACAAGTAGGCCATACTTTGTAAGTTTCCCAGGATTATATGTTCGCATACGAAGCCTTCCCCTCCAAGGAATCACAGATTCGTCCAAAGACAGTTGTTGGTTTGGCTTATAAACTGTCTGAAATTTCTGAACGAAAAAGTTCAATAAGGACTGAATTTTTAAAAGCCTGCTTGTTGATTGTGGTTGCAGTTCATTATCATTGAAATGCAAACACCACCAAATTTACTCAAATCTCTTACGGCTCATTAGTTTGCCGAAAATTGGAATTTCTAAAAATCTATCTCTTGACAGTACTCTTTCAGATTATCCCTCCTTGTATGGCCCATTAGAAAGATAATTGCAAAAAATTTTCTCATTTCTGCTGAAGTGACATCCACCCACTTCAACGCCTTATAACTTCTGTCATAATGTTCACGGTGTTGGAGATAGTATCTGTTAGTTTCCTGACATAGCATGTCAAAGAAACTATCTCCAAAAACAGTTCCACTACTTCAGACACTTGTGTTGGGGTCCGATGGAATTTGCTTCACCCCTGGATTTCCAGTAAACTGTCCCAAAGCAGGCATTTTGTCTAGTTTTCCCCATGTGGCTCTCCCCACAATGTTGCTACCCGCACTTTCGTGAGAGCTACTGTCACTTTCACTTTCACTGTCTGTGGCCACAATTTTTTGTTCGCCCCTGCCACACTCACTATCAGATTGTGAGTCGCTATCACTAGCAGACTCACAAGGGACGTCAGATAGCTCATCGGAGAAGAAGTCAGATATTTCTTGTTCTCCAAGAAATCGCTTGGGTGTCAACCGCTTTGGTCTTTGATCCATATTGAACTACTGACTGACAGCTTGCTATGTAAAGCTTGAAGAAATAAAGGCATTTATTTTCCTTTGCAGGGGCATAGAGTTACAGCGAGGTCTAGTAACTGATTGGTCAGCAGACATTCCAGAGCCTTAGAACGCAGCTGCAAGCAGCTACGTGCTAGCTAGGTGGAGCCAGAGACGTGTATAGTGTGTTGCAACTTATCGTGTTTTAAAAACCTGTTAACACGCGAACGGTCCGCCACGTTTAAAAGCGAAAACCTTTTAAAGGGTGCGCTGTCCGCAAAGTGTTAAATTCGTGTGTGTTATTGATCATCCACATGGGGGTCGTTCTTATGTTTCTAACGTGTGTATATTATGTCTTATGATGTGTTCTACTCTTGTGGCTGCGTGTGTTTTATCCAACGATACAACACATGCAGAACAACCCCCATGTAGATGATCAGTAACACACATGAATTTAAAGTATGACACATGAGATAATAGGTTTTCATTCATTCATCAGTAATCTGTCAGACAACAGGTCCACAGTCTCTTCCAAAACAGTTCCTCCACTTAATGTGATCTAGAGCTTTCTCCTTCAAATGAGAATATCCTCTTCTGTCCCCAAGGTCATTCAGCATCTTCTTACATCTTCTTCCTCATCTTCTGGTCACTTCTATCTTGTAGCCGTACCACTGACACCACCAGCTTTATTTGTAACCAAGATTTCTTTTTATAGTAATTACGCATAGGAGGTACTAAGGAACATTCAAGGGTGACTTAGCCCGATTCTTGGTTTCAAGAATAGGGCCTGCTTCACTGCTACAAAGACCAGGCAGTAAGCACCCCGCAGAGTTTTCCTGGAAATTCAGTTCGAAAGTTGACCGACGGAATCCTTTGGTAAAGTTACACTTGACAGGTTTTGAACCCCGTAAGTCAAAAGTGGGAAGGCCAGCAACCCACGCTACTGGTATAATTTTTCAAGCAGCTGTCAAAAACGACGTTAGGACTTTAAGGTCCAAAGTCCCAAATTAAATCTAGGTGATTGGAGCAGTGAGAATGATGGTTAACTCCCTAAATTTGAATTGTTTCAATCATCCGTAATTAGGGTAGTAACTTGGAGGCGGAGTTGAAGCTGTGAAGATTTCTTGATTCAAAGCAGAGTCGGTCTGCGAAAGGAGTCTCTGAACAACTCTCCAAGTGTACAGCCGAAAAATGAGCATCACTGGCAGTTGGGTTTAAAAGTCAAGGTTAAAACAGAATTATGTTTAAGTGTGTTACAGGAACAATCTCTGAATAACTCTGCAAAATTTAATGTGAATCCTAATTTATCTTAAAAGTTTAAGTGAAAGTGTAATTACTTCTATGTGTTGTGCTAAAAGAAGCAGTTGCTAAATAACTAGCCAGGGATCCGGTCGCAAAAGTTTGAGTGATTTCAAGTTTGTTTAAGGGATTAAGGACAAGTGCTGTTAGCTGTATATCAAGAACTGCTCATTAAACAGTGTGTGATAGTGCCTAGCTATAAACACTCTTATGTTTCCCGCTAACACGAGGCCTGTATTCACCCTGAGGCAGAATCTCATCACTCTAGTGTGAATGTGGTACCTATCACCTGTAGTTTCCAGTTCATTCCCATTTTTCCTGAAAAGTAAGCCTTTATAGTAAGCTTACTGGCGCCCAGCATTCATGTAACCCATATCCCACAAACAGTTATCCACAACAACAACAACAACAAAAAGGGAAGCAGAACTGGACAAGAAGGACGCAGCAGCAACCTGCAAACTCAGAGTAACAACAGGTGAGAGGGAATGGCTAGAGGAGCAGCTGCAACCAGCAACTAAGGGGCCAAAAGGATGGTAAGAGAAGGAAGGTGGCACCAACGTGGAAGCAAACGGTTACAATCTGCCCCTCTATCTTTCTGTCAATAACTTCCTTTAGGAGGCAGTTACTGCATAAGATAGGTTTTAACAAGTTTTAAATATATAAACTTTATTATTATATAAGGATGTTACAAATTTAATATTATTTGTAAATGGACATATAAAGGCAAGCAGTGAAATGGTTGACGGATTGATACACCTGAAGATGGCAGCATACTGCCAAAACATGTAGTGTAGAGGTGGTAAATGGGATTATGTGCACTTGAAGACTATTAATACATACACATTTTGAATATGAATCAGTGCAACAGGACACTAAAATACAACATAATTTTTATTTAATCTTTTTCCTGTAACACTTCAAATGTATGATTTTTTTACTAGTTTTGAATTGTGCGTGCTTCAGTTTCAGCCAAGCAAACAGAAGAGAAAGAAGAATGTAGATTTTGATGTTGGTTTTGAGTTTGTGAGCAGTGTTTCAGAATATAATGCTGATACATGGGATGATCTAGCTAAGTATGTCAAGCGTAAAGGAAAGACTAAAGTGGATGAAAAAATTCAGAATGCTAGAAGGAATTTGAAAAAAGAGGTATATATAATGGAACAGAATTGCTAATTGAGTGCACTTAATTGCATTTCACAAGCGAAATGATTATGATAATATACCATCCTATGTTGTGATAGAAGCAAGATGAGAGTCCAGAGACTGGCAATGATGAGTCGCTACCAGAAATTGTTTCTGATTCAGGAGAATCAGACGAAGAAATATCACTTTCAGAAGATGAACTGAAGAGAGGTATGTTATAGAGCAGGCATGTCAAACTCAACTTGTACAGAGGGCCACCTCAGCCCTATAAATAATAGTCCAGGGCCGCACTTAAAAATAGAAATATACATTAGATTTTGATACAAGGAAATTTAATTCTGTTTATTATTTAGGAATAATTTCAATTTAATTACCTAAAGTCACATATCTTACAGTTTTAAAAAGCAAGAGAATGCCATTTTTGACAAGTATCAAACAGCTTTTCAATATGTAAAACGAGAGATTACACAAGAAATTATGTTAGAAATAGCAAAACATTGAATATCCTGCAGCCTGCTAATTTATGTCTGCGTGGGACTTCTTGTCTTCTGGTCTGTTGGAAAATTGTCTTTACAAAAAATATTTCTACTAAAATTTTAATATTGATTTTAATATCATTTACCTCTAAACGTTGAGGGGCCGCATGTTTGACGCGGCTGTTATAGAGCATCAAGTAGAAACAAGAAAGTTTTTCATTCATTTATTATGGGTGTAGATCTGTTCAGTGTTGTCTCTGAGCTGGCAGGATAGCTCTGTCAGTATAGCAATGGGCTAAATGGCTGGGGAATGATTCCTGGCAGTGACAAGAGATTTTTCTCTTCTCCATAGTGTCTGGATCAGCTCTGAGGCCAACCCAGCCTCCTATTCAGTGGGTACCAGGGGCTTTTTCCACAGGGTTAAAATGGCATGGCTTATGCTTCTTGAGTTCATAATAACGTAGACTCTTTTTGGCACAAATTATTATATTCTCTCTGATAGTTTCCCAAGCTCTTAACATCCATTTTCCAAGCTCTCTAAATATACACCTCAGTGTTTTTCAAAGCTGTGAACCTATATGAGATTTCAGCACGATACTGCCCCTTACCCTCTACCTTATTTAATTTCTTGAGATTGAACCTCTCCATATGAACTCTGCGTTGTTTGTTCACTCACTGCCAGTCTCTCCCTAACTTTTTCCACCACCAATTACTGGTTAGTCTCACAATCTGCTTCTCTAAATGAGTGAACATCAAGAACACTTGAATGCCATCTCCTGTCTATCAAAATATGGTCAATTTTGTTGTGTGACTTTCAATCAGGAGATGTCCAAGTAAATTTATGAGTGTTACAATGTAGGAACATGGTAATTTTGACAATAAGATTTTTGGATGTGGCAAGGTGTACTACTTCTGACTCCATTATCATTACTAATTTTATGTGAACTCTCATTCCAAATTGTTGGTATGAAAATGTCTTCCCTCCCTACTTTGGCATTGAAATCTAATAAAATTTTCATGTGATATTTAGGGAATTTATCAAATACACATTCTAGTTCTTCATAGAACCCGTCCTCTTCATCAGTTTTGTCCTCTGTTGGGGCATGAACTTTCAGAACGATGATATTGCACCAGCGACCTCTTAGTATTATGTATGACATCCTATCACTAACAAACTCTACCCTCTTCGCTGCTGATATGATTCTCTTATGTCCAAAAAACCCTCTGCTTAATTCATGATTCTCATTCCCCCTTCCACAGAAAAATGTATATTCACTTGCTGGTTTGGTGCCGCCTCTGTCCCATATGACCTACTTTAATCCCTCTTAATCTTACTAATATTTTGATATTTCTTTCACAACTGTCTTAAACAAACCTGCCCTATACAGACTTATTACATTCCAAGTACTAGAACTCATATCTATACTATGTATTTCCTACCTTCAGAAAATGTTTTATGCCAACAGAAAAATCTAGCATATCATGCATTTCTTACCATAAGCACATTCATCATATGGAATATTTCTCCAACAATTTTCTAGAAGGCAACACTTAACCTGAACATACAACATTGGTTTTGCATTCACAACATTCATCCTGTTCTAGATGCATTTACTCAACCAAGGTTACCAACAGTGACTGACTTCATTTTGCATTATAGCCCAGTGCTGCCAACATGCATTATTTATCGCAATTTAACTCCTAAAAAATAATGTGTTGTCTTGGCACGCCTATTACTTTTTTAAAAGCTCTCATATGTAGGAAAGTTTGGTGAACTAGTGAACAAGGTTTTTGTAAAGAATCTTTTATGCATCCTAGAAGTGATACCATACATTATGGAACACTGTGGTTGAGTTATTAGTGCCTGTGCTGTAAACTGACTATGTTGAAAGGCTTTTCATGGTTTTCCGTTTCTTCCTCTCCAGGAAGATACTGAGGTAATACCTCAGATGGGGCCACAGAACACATGAAATTATAGTAATATGGTGTACCAAGGGTGCTGCATGCTGTGGTTGCAGGTAGTCCTAATTCTGCTGGTAGGTGTATCTGCCAACCCTAATGTCTCTGTTGTCAGCTCTCATCATTTTCGTGAGGGATGCCTGTTTAGAATAGCATCTTTACTCTGGCTGCCAGGTCCCACTATAGAACTACCTGCTAGAAATGCCATGGCTGCTTGCAGATGTAATTGCGCAGAAAACCCCACAGTATTTTCACATACTACCTTCACACAGCTTCAGGTGTAGATAATGTGAAGCATGTTCTTCCCACTAAACTGTTGTGTGTTATGCTTGATGCCAGCTATTGAGAGACATGCCATACTGTGTGATTAACATCAAACCATTCTCTTTAGCTGTGGTCATTTTAACACAGGTGTGTTATTATCTGGTTAACTTGTGTCATGAAAAGGGTTAAAACATGTATTTTATATTTTTGCATTATTGGATAGTATGGTAACAGACATGATTGGATTGTGAGTATGCATAACTCTAGTTAAGTAGCAAGGTAACAAACCTTTGTACAAAATATTAGATGTTTTTTTTTTACTTTTCAGATAATATTAAAGTGAAGGAGAAGGTGAGGTCAAAGAGAAATAAGAAGAAACAAAAAGTGGATAATAATGAAGACCAACAGTCAGAGTTCTTTGAAGATGCACCTCCATTTGATGAAAATGCTTCATTCTATCAGATGAACTTGTCCAGACCTCTATTAAAGGTAAAGTTGGTAATTTTGATAACATTTTGTAAGCTGTACTTATGTAATGTTCATGTGTCTTTTAGCTTTGCTTCTCTTTTGTATGTATATACTAACATGAGGGATTTTGTGGTTTGCTGGTACGTATTTACTTTAGTGCTTGCATATTACATGTCTAACATGTACCTGTAAGTAAACTGCCTGTGTAAGAGGCCAGTGAATAATTTGGAATTTAAAATCCCTTCTGTCATATTCAACTCTCTCGAGGTGCATTGACATTGAAAAGTAGTACGCTTAATAGTGCTGTCATGTGAGTACTGTGCTTTAATCTAGCAATAGGCAGTGCTTCTCTGATTAAATTATTCCAACTTTCAGCAGTCCTGCCACAATAGTATACTGGATTGATAATGCTAGGTATACTTAAATATGTGTAACAAGGCTGTTAGTACCTAAACCTAGTTATATTGATGTTGAGTTTGCTATTGGAAAGTTTAAGAGGTAAAAAATCACCAGGATTTGATCAGATTCCAGCAGATTGATCCAAGGGGAAACATGTTCTAAGGTCCACAAACTTTATTCTGTTTGAAATAAGGAACAATTGTCACAGCAGTGGATGGAATCTATTATTGTACTTATTTATAAAATGGATGATAAACTGACTGGTAATTATTGAAGCATGTTATAAAGTGGTCTACTATCCCTGACTACTGCCACCACTGTTATGGCATGGCCTGTTGTCAACCCCCAACTGCTGTTTATTACTGTTACACCTTGGGGTGCTGATACTACGTTGCTTCAACCACCATGGAGACTGGTATTTGCTTAACCCTTTGACGTGGTGATTTAAATTCCGTGGCCGCGGCTCCTGCGGTAATATATTCAGCCGGCCATTTAAATTTTGCTCGAAAATTATTTATTCATCATTGTTCTTAAATTCTATGAGATAGGAACATGAAACTTTCACTAAAATGATCTTAAATTGTGGTTTTATAACCTTACCTTATAATATGGGAGCCCTGTATCTCGGCCATGGGTGCAGGTTGTTTAGTATTTGAGCAGTGAATGGTACGCCTTGAAGGATGAAACTTTCACTAAAATGATCTTAAAAGATGGTTTTATAACCTTGCCTTATAATATGAGCACCCGGTATCTCGGCGGTGGTTCAGAATTTGAGCGGAGTGTTACACGCATTGAAGCATTCTACTATAGACAGCGCTGACTCACATCACCATACCAGTACTGCGTATCTCTCATTTGGCTATTTTTTCCGTAAACAAAACATCTTCTGTGAGGCCCTGCCTTCTTCCCCGTGGGGGGAATATAAGAAGAAATGTCTCTCCGTGAGTCGTATCGCTACCCAGATTAGCTGCAGTAAATTCGACCTTCATGTTATCATAACAAGTGTTGTTGCTTCTGCGTTTCATTTTCCATCCATTTTGGCGGCATAAGACGTCGTAGGGGTGACCACAGAATTCATGAAGTTATTCTAAGAACTGGCTGGTATGTAGTGAACGAAAGCAGAGCTTAGCTGGCTCAAAAAAATATTTATGGTCATCCCTCGAAACGACCACGAAGGTCAGTACGATAAAATGGCGTCAACTGGAGCGATAATACATGAAGGAATGAGTTCTTTCCCTCCCCCACACACATCCGTATCGTCTCAGGGGGTGACCACAGTGTTCTGCCTTAATTCGTGACGTTTTTCTAAGAACTGGGTGCTATATACTGTGCGAAATCAATCGATCGTGCAACAATAAAGTTTTGGACATCCCTCTTCTAAGAATTCCAATTGAGTGTGTTTGTGTCGCCAGCTCAGGGCAATATGATATTATAAACACGAGCACATATCACGTCTCTGTTGTTTATAAGTTCATAAGAAACAAAACAGGCCTTTCATGACAGGAGAACGGAGAAACCTCTCCCAAGAGCAACAGGAACTTTGCTGCAAGACAGGCATATGTAACGATGACTTGGCGCAGATAAAGTCGTGTCTTATTTATACTCTGTTCTACTGACAACAGGCCAGCGAAAAATCTAACAATCTACAGCAAAACCATCAATTATTATGGGCGTTATAACGTAGGTGTGCAGCTGGACGAAACATACACGTCGAACCCCCCCAGACGATTTAAATCCCTGACGAAACATACACGTCGAACCACGGCAACAGGTTAAAGGAGCTGTCTGGACTGGGTGACCTTTCAGGGTACAAGATTTGAGAAGAGGGTATCACGAGGGGTCTACACTTAATTTAGCTTATTATTACTGGTTGCTACCACCACACAATCTCTAACCATAATAGTATCCCTTCAGGAAGGGGGTACCAGAATAAGCGTAAAGCACAAGGGGGTGTCTGATTATGTTATTATTAATATCTTGCAGTATTTACAAGTATGTGCCTGAAGTATATTGAGCTAGTTAATTCCATCATACTCATTCTAGGTCAGACCCTACCCATACCCTCTGACTATCTGAGTATGCAATGTGGATACACTTAGCAAGGCTGGTGAAGCTGCTCAGATGATCCCATGGTGTTTCTGTAGTCTTGCTTTGGGTGGCTCAACTGACTGCTAGGATGAGTGTGGTATCTGCCATGTAAATTTTCACTAATAATATCCTGGCGGCATCTCTTAAAAATTGTCAGTTGAATGGTTCTTTCATATCCCCAATCTAGTGTATTTAATAGCTGACTTATACTCTTCAGAATTTATCCTCTTGCCCTAGTTTTTATGGTAACAATTACTGCACACGGTGCAAGTCAGTGTCTCCAAGCAAATTTTTCCTGCCATTAGGCACACCTGTTCTACATTACTACTACTATCTAGTCGCACCATTTTTCGATACACATCTTTTGGACCCCAGAGGCTCCAATTTACCCCCATTATGGCCTTAAGGACATAAAGCATGTCACTGGTGTCAACTACCAGAAAATTGCACCCGTGATGTTAATTTAATATTTAATAGAAATCAGTATTTTACAAATGCCACAATAGTACATTTAATTCCATCACATGGCAAGATGCCTAGTATCAGGAAATCATATGTATTTAATGTCTTTTTAAGCTACAATCTAAAAAAGATTGTGAAGAATGAATCCATTTGCTGGTATACAGAATTTCTAGACAGTCATCATTGTAGGCCTAGCTTTTTATGTTTTGGCAATTTTCATCTGTATTAGTGGTCTGTTTTCTGAAATATGGGAAAAATAAGTGCAACAAACTTTTGAAGAGAATGTACTATGTATATACTTTGAACAGGGTCCATTTATGGTGATAAATGGCTTTCGTTCCCCTTTGCATTGTGTTGAAGCTCTGGCTACTCCAGCATGATAGGGGCCGACGAAACATCTGAATTTGTAGCTAACTGAATACAGTATTATACTTCATTTTAGGAGTATTTATATCAGTGCTGTGGTTATATTAACAATTCATTTCCTACAACAACATGAATGGCTGTGAATCAAGTCATGTTGCGTCTTACTTTCATTTAGAAGGCACATGGTTTGAATCTCAGCTGACATACCAACTATCCTGACTGAAACTTTTTGTAGTTTTACTTGGTCGCTCCATGTGAATGATGGGATGGCATTTTGGAATAGGCTACCAAGGTTTCTTGCCCAGTTCTCTCAGTTTGAACAATGTGACTATACAAGACAAAAGGGACAAGTTTATAGATGAACTGTATTGTCCTACAGAAGGAGGAAATCTTGTGATGAGGAAGGAAATTTTGTGAAACTGATCATAGTGCAAGATAATATTAATATGTGACTGAAGTCACTTCCTTAACAGATGGAGCTGGAAGTAGAAAAAGAAGCTAATTTGCACCTAATGGACATAATTTCTGAACACTTTTACCCTTCTCACTTTTAATGGTTCAGAATTGTCATACAGAGATTCCATACTCTCCTTGGCCAGGGACCTAATTGAGAGGGGAGGGGGGTTGCCTGTACCTCAGTTCACCCCATGTAGACACCCCTTCTACTACCAACTGATATGACTTGACATACAGGGGAGTGAATGTTGGACCCCAGAAGAAAGGCAAGTGCAGTATAATGTGTCTAGTGATAATCAAAGAAAATAAGACAGAGGTCAACTGTGCATTGCAGTGTGGAATTTTGTGATAGTCCTTGCTTCAAGTTCTGTCACATAGAATTACCTTTGTGAGGTCTATTCTACACTACACAGGAAAAGGAGGAACATATAAATTATAAGACCATTGTCATTATTGTACTCACATTTATGACTAAAGTATCTTGATGAGGTAACAAGGTGTAGGAGTTAGGATTGATGAAATAAGCAGAGATTTTCTTGATGTGTCATCAGGTATGTGCATCATTTTCACACTTTATGGGTTTTCAAATTATGAATACTTGCTTTGGAAAACTAGAAACATTCCATGATTTCTGTAACCCTCAGGGAGATGTCAGTAAGCAGAATTGTCCACTAAAAGTGGATGATTCCATTGCATACAGGGTGTCCCAGGAGGAATGTGCCAAAGTTCGGAAGGGCGTTCCTTATGTTATAGTATGCCGATGTAACCCAAAACACCTATGTCCAAAGTTGAACGGTTACAGAGATAATGGCCTGAGAAAAGTGTGGTCTTCTGGCGAGTCCACGCACTGTACCAGTCAGCTGGCATGTCTTATCTACATTTGTCCTTGAGTGTGGTGATGGCAGCTCACGTTAGCCCCATACGCTCGCATACCAGAACGCGCAGTCATCAATGTTACGTCAGTGCTTGCCATTCATGTATCATGTATCATTGGAACTCTTAACGACAACTTTGACATGGCGTGCGAGTTTTTTGTAGTTCAATTTAATGGCTTCATGTCACTCACAAGTTAGTTTGATGTTACGTACATTATTAACATTACAGAAACCACATATTCCTGCCAGTTTTAATATGTATTTTGTAATCAACAAGTGTGTAACACCGGTCAAAGTTTCCCACTTCTCTGGCTATTATCTCCGTAACCGTTCAACTTTGGACATAGGTGTTTTGGGTTATATCAGCATACTTTAACATAAGGAACGCCCTTCCAAAGTTTGGCACATTCCTCCTGGGACACCCTGTATAAGTCTTGGACATTGTTTAATGCTTAGAGAAAAATTTTAGACACCCATATTTATATACTGTCATTACTGTATTGATGTTTTTAATATTATGCTGAACACATCCATGATAGGGCACGTGGTAGCATAGTTGATTGGAGCACTATGCTACAAACCAGAAGGTAACAGATTCGAATCCCAATGAGTTCATTGGATTTTTCAGTTGGCCTAATCTTTTCAGCCGCACTATGGTCCTAGGGTCAACTCAGCTTCTAACAGAAGTGAGTACCAGGAATCTTCCTGGGGTGTAAAGGGCGGCCAGCACATAAGGTTGACAACCTTACGTTGTGTTATGTTATGAGCCGATTGTCTACAAAATGTGGGAGGCTCGAAGTCTCACAATCCCATGGGCCCTCAGAGCCTGTTACAGGGATAGCTTTACTTCTCTCATTTTTTTACACAACCATGATTCAGGAACCAAAATTGCAAGCCAAAGGAAAGTTGTGATGATTAAGGGATATGGCATTATTACATGACATTTCTTGAGAACAGGAATGTGTGTGTTCCTGGGGGCATTGGTAGATTTGAAGGAACTCATATGTTAACGTTATTGGCTGAGATTCAGGTTCTAATAGGGAATGTGGAAATTTTCTCATGACCATCAAAATGGCTTCAGGAAGAATGGTTGGTGATAGCAGCAGCCAGATAAAGAGCAGAACTGATTTGTTTCCTAAAACTGTGGACAGAAAATGTATGGAATATTCGCTCTGTACTTCCTTTGCCATGTTGATGGCATGGTGCTATGACATTGGGGGTAACATTGCATGCTAATTGACTGATTAACCAAGCAGTTCCATGGATCAGAGTCCCTCTGTTAATTTCCAGTCTTTTGTGGAACACGGATGTTTATTTTTTTTTTTTTCCTTGGCACTACTGCCCCAGTGGGCCTAGGCCTACCTCCATGAACTTCTCCGTTCACTTCGGTTTTTCTAGATCTTACACATTTGGTAGGACTCCTTGGGCAGGTGATCAGCTCGTCGCAAGGCCTCTACCTGTACACAAACACAGAAAAACGCACACACACAAACTAAACATCCATGCCCTGAGTAGGATTCGAACCCACGATCCCGGTTTCCAAGCGAGCGAAGACAGTACATGCTTTAGACCGCTTGGCTACTGTGACCGGCACAGATGTTTATTACTGTTTACAAAAGTTTGCTTCTCTACCATATCCAGAGCAACATTGCCTACTGATATAAATGCATATGTTTAGATCCTTACAGAAAAATAAATGTATGGTTGTCAGAATTTCTACACAGAGCCCCAAAACAAAATTTTCCCTGTCATCTCCTGTTACATTTTTCTTCCCTTTTTCCTAGTTCTCCTCTTTTTTGTTTTTCATGGTGAATGCTTGAAGGAAAAAATGCTGAAGAAAATGTCTATACTTGACAGTGAAAGTAACAGGTGTAACATGTCAACATGTCACAGCTATAGGAGAGATGTGATTTGCATTCAGAATTGTCACAAGATTTGAGAGAAGGAACCACATAGGCATAGATGGAAGAATAATGTTGAAGGTTTTATAAAAGACAGAGTTTGTTTACCAGATAACTGTTTTCAAGAAAGACTATACTCCATGGAGTTGATAATATTAAGGAAGTAAGTGGGTCAGAGATTCTAATTATAGTTAATGAACTTTGATTGATTATGATAATTAAGAGTTTTTCAGAGCATACGTACATATTCACAGGCAATTGCAGCTATGAACTTCATTCACCCAACACCAATCCAGGCTGCTACAATTCCAGTTGCCCTGATGGGAAGGGATGTTTCTGGATGTGCTGCAACTGGCACAGGAAAGACAGCTGCTTACATGCTTCCCATTTTGGAACGTCTTCTATATAGGCCACTGGATGACACTGCTGTGACTCGTGTGCTTGTCCTTGTACCCACACGAGAGTTAGGTGTTCAGGTTTATCAGGTTACTCGTCAGCTTGCCCAGTTTACAAACATTGAAGCTGGGTTGGCAGTAGGAGGACTGGATCTGAAGGCACAGGTAATTGACATATGCTTTCAGTGCCAGAATATAGTACAGTAAGTGCATTATAAACTTGCTCAAGGGCCACTTTGTAGTAATTCTGAGCACGTTGGAATAGCAGTGATTCTCTAGACTAGTGTTCAGATGGTGCTTAGTTTGAATCTTGGCTGAATACCAGCTATCCTAACTGAGGGTCCCCCCCCCCAGTCACTGCAGGAAAATGCCAAGATAGTACCTTGATTAGGTCATAACCACTTCCTTCCAGATCTTTCAAGTTCATTATTCATCAGTCATCCTATCGTTTTATTTTGTGCAATGTGGCTAAGAAGTCACTATACATGGCAGCGCATATAAAGACCCACTTGATGTACAGTGACTCTCACTACATGGTATGTTCAAAACACCACCTGATTTGCCACCATGTTCTATGTGACATATGCCAAAGCATTTGTGGTGTAATTGTGTTTAATGTGTGCTCCACACCTCTGCCCAACTCATTCATGTGATAACAGTTCACAGCTACTTGTCTCTTGATAATACCCCAAAAAAGAGGTGTCCAGTGTGGTTGCCATGTTACATCTTCACAAAAGTCTTGCAGAGCTCATCTGCACACTCCCTGGGAACACACTTGTGTATTACAGACAATTTTTGCAACACTCATTGGACCTAATGTGCTTTAAATTCACTAAAAGATAGCCATTCTCTGATTGAAGTGACTAGGTGCTGCAATTTCAGTCAAATATCATTGACAAGTTGAAGGGAAGTTTTCTAATATCTGCAGGATAGGGGTATGTGATACTATGTAGGTAAGTCAATAAGTAAGTTACAAATGGATATAGAACTTAAATAAGAGTACTGATTTGAAAAATGCTTTTATTTCTCAACATAATCTCCCTGTACATTGAAGCACTTGTCCCATCGTTTCACAAGCCCCTGAAAACCAGCAGCATAAAATTCGTTGGGCTGCTGTCAGAACCAGGCGGTGACTTCCCTTACTACAGCTTCATCGTCGGGAATATGTTCAGCCAAAAGATGATGTTTAAGAGGGCTGAACAAATGAAAGTCACTTGGAGCAAGGGCGGGGCTATACGGAGGATGCTCGAGGATTTCCCACTTGAAATTTCGCAGCGTCTCATTTGCCTTGTTGGCAGTATGGGGACGCACATTGTCATGCAAGACGCACATTGTCATGCAATAGCAACAAGCCTGGTTCCAACAGCAGCGCAAAGAATTTTATGCTGCTGGTTTTAAGGGGCTTGTGAAACAATGGGACAAGTGCCTTAGTGTACAAGGAGATTATGTTGAGAAATTAAAGAATTTTTCAAATCAGTATTCATATTTGTTTAAGTTCTACATCCATTTGTAACTTACTTATTGACTTACCCTCTTATAATAATTGAGCGTGGTATGGCGGCCCATGCTCAGAACAGGTAGCAACTTCACCCTTAGCACATAAACACTCCAATAACAATAAATTTCATCACATTCTATTCATTATCACTGGTCTCCAGGGCCTCATTGTAGATCTTGATTTGACATATTCCCCCTACAATTTTATGACTTGTACGTAACAGTTTGTTTTGTTTACTACATGTCCCAAAATTTCTGTTGAAAAGTAGTTACAAAAATTATTTTTTATGCTTTGTTGTACCCTGCAGCCCAAATCCACCAGTAAAATATTCCACTTATTATTTGGCATGCCTTCCCATTTGAAATCTCTGTCAGTATCATCAACCTCCACCACTCCTTGGCTTTCATCATTCTTTTCTGAGTGTATCAGGCATAATCATCAACAGAATTCTCACAATCACTGTCTGAATTGATTGAACTTTATTGTGGATTTCTTCTGTGTAAACCTGTGATAGTTCAAAGTGTGGTTTTACTGTATCATGATTTGCAGGAGTCTGCATTGCGCAGAAATCCAGATATAGTGATTGCAACACCAGGCCGGCTGATTGACCACTTGAAAAATACGCCATCTTTCACTCTTGATAGCATCGAAGTGCTGGTGCTCGATGAAGCTGACAGGTATGTTTTGTTCCTTCATATTTTTACAGCAACAGGTCAAAGTTTCTCTGTCTGACACACATGTCTGTAATTGCACTAGCTGCTAAAGTGAAGGAAAAAATTGTATGTCAGGCACAGTTCCACTTACAGCTGCTATTCTATGTGATGGACTCTGTTTTTTGGATTTATGTGTTGTAATGTCATTCAGGATGAGGATGTATGTCACAGCTGCAAGTGTGTATATATATATACCTGTACCTCCTTGTGCATCAGAAGAAAAAAATTGAGTGGAACGAGGTGAATGTATGAAATCTAGTTCCCTTAAAATGCTTCTCTCTGAATAGAACGGCCAGCTTATACAGTGTGACCCAGTATAAAGAAGACTAAAGTATGTGCATCTTCCTGTGCACTTGAATACATCTGTTCCATCCTGACTACCAGCCATTGCTACTAGGTATTCCTGATATAAATCTAGAACTGTTCTGTAGGAGCAAATAACCACGGCTCCTCTAGACGATTAAAGGTGCTGGCAATGCTGTCCATGCATGCACACAATGACTGTGTTGTTTAAACAAGTTTCAGGTTGATGCAAAGAAGTTTTCCTTGTGTAGTTTCTAGAAGAGTATCTCCAAATGTTCTTCAGATTTTCTTCCAGAAGGTTTCTTTTAGTTAGTTAGTTATTAGAGAGGGTGGGTTTCCCCATGCACTTAGACCTGTAGTGGTCCATTGTGCTTCTTCTGTGATTTCTACCAGCCTCTATATCCTACCGGTATTGGTGCTTACCATCAGTCCCGCCCAGCCAGCGAGACCGGCTCTACTGGCTGAGAAGTATCTATAATGCTTCCCCCATCTACCGGAGGTATTAGTGACTGCTGTTGGGCGGGAAACGTCCGCAATTTTGGCTCAGTGACCTCCTTTGGAGGTGTGAGGTTCTTTTACGTGCCGTAAAGCTACGACA